TCAGGGGTTGGGCCAGACTTAAATAGCCAACAATCAAGCACAGGTTCTGGGAAATGGGTCACAGGATGGATCCAGGAAATCTATATACAAGGACGAGATATTCAGTACCAAGGAAAGCACAAAGAAAAATCAGAATTATGCAAAGCCGGGATTACACTGATGTGCGTTACCCAATAGTCCAGCAACGAGAAGCTCAGAGCCACTGCCTTAAGAAGTGGCTGGCAAATAGGAAGATGAACCAAAGGTGAGAAATTACTTGCAGCTGTGTGGACCAAATGCTGGAGCCCGTGGTCCAGGCAGAGCATTACAAGTGAGAAGAAGAAAGAGAGAGAAAAACAAAACACATGTAGCCCCACTGGGCCGACCTAGCAGACACTGAGACCATGATACACTGTGTATAAAATATTCACACTTGCTGTGATTTATAGTGTGAAAATATATCAAATATGTAATATGAATGAAAAATATTACTTCAACTGCTTGTTGTGAGTCACGAAGCACAGCAACCAGTAAGTTAGTTCATATTGATTTCTTGCTGATTTTGGCATATTTTGATTTGTCTTTATATTTTCTCTTCTTAGCTGACATGTCGGATGACTCCATAGAAGATCTAGAGGGTAAGTAAAGTAGTGCTTATTAATTTTTCTATTATTTTCCCCCACTGTTATGGAAATCACTGCATGGTTTCTATCCTGCAGCGTGTACCCTGACCAGTTGTGTGCAAAAATGTTTACTCATGTGGCATTTTATTATTATAACAACTATATTACTCTGTATAAGTTTTAAAATGCTTGCTGTGAGTCATGGTAAGAAGCTCAGCAAACAATAATTTAGTAAATACTGATCATTTGCTGATGTTGACATATTTTGACTTCTTTTTGGTTTTTCTCTTTAAAGTGGACTATGGTGCGTGTATTGACTCTTTTATCTCTCTAGTGGGTAAGTAAAACAGTGCTTATTAGTTGTTTTCTCTCTTCCTTTTCTTTTTTTTTTTACAACACTACCAAACCTCAAACATAATCTGGAGAATCTGAGGTCTCCCTTTGAACCTCAAGTTTAGTGAATGCTGACCAACTGTATGCAAAAATGTTTACTTGTGTGACATTTCATCATTATAATAATGATATCTCTCTGTATAATTTACTCTATAAGTTTTAAACTGCTTGTTGTGAGTCGAGATACTTGTAAGAAGCTCAGCAACCAGTAATTTAGTTCATATTGATTTGTTGCTGATTTTGACATATTTTGATTTGTCTTTATATTTTCTCTTCTTCTTACATGTCGGATGACTCCATAGAAGATCTAGAGGGTAAGTAAAGCAGTGTTTATTATTTTTTTGATTATTTTTTCAACACTGTTATGGAAATCACTGCATGGTTTCTATCCTGCAGGGTGTAACCTGACCAGTTGTGTGCAAAAATGT